CTCTCTCTCTCTCTCTCTCTCTCTCTCTGGGGCAGGGGTAGTGCGTGGCTGCTTCTGCTTTGTTGAGACAGAGTTGCTGCTGCTGAAGGTCCCACGTGAGAGCCTGAGCTGTGCAGGCCCATGGTCCCTCTGGGCCTCATTCCACTAGTTTCCTGAAGGCTCAGAGAGGTGGTCGGATATCCATCCTAGGAGGTTTTTAAGCCCAGGCCAGACAAAGCCCAGCTGGGATGATCTTGTTGGATCTGCTCCTGCTTTGAGCAGTGGGTTGGGTTAGATTTGGCCTCCTGAGGTCCCTTCCAGCCCTTGTTTCCTATGATTCTTTGATTCTGTTTGGATCTCAGTTTATTAGTCTGTGACAGCTACCCTGTCTTCTGCCTGGCTTGGGACTAGCATAGCCAACTCCCTCTTTTCCACAGTGTAGTCTAGGAAGAGTTGTGTGCAAGCACTTAGTCTTCTTTCACGCATAGCTGTAAAATGAAGCCTCATACAGTTTGAAGTCATAAAGCTGTCTGGTGTTTTGTCTGTTCAACAGGCAGAGTCTGAATTATGACTTTGAAATATTTAAGTTTGATACTTGGATTTAAACCTCTAACCAGTATTTCAGTGTACCCTTAGAATTGGACTTCATTCAGTCTGGCCACAGTCTGATTATTCTCTGAGGCATGCACTACTATTGGATGGACACGCACACACTGGACACACATTTGCTTACACATGCGCATGCATATTCTCAGAGGCAAAAACATATGCTCTGACACTCGTGCTTGGATCAGATGAGATGGTAATATGTAGTGGCTGGAAGGGACCTCAGGAGGCCAAATCTAGTCCAACCCACTGCTCAAAGCAGGACCAGATCCGACCTTAATAAGCTATTTCAGGGGTTTTCAACCTTTTAAAATAAGTTTTAGAACAATTGTTGGAATAATTGGTTTGCAAATACCTAAAATACAATAAGGTGATAAGAATGAGGAACACTGGGTCACCATGATCTCTTTTTGACAAACCTATCTGATTTCTTCCTTTGGCAGAATAACCAGCCTCATAGGGATATAACTTCAGTAACACTTTTGAAACTGTATCATGTGGCCACAGTTCCTCAGATCACTTGTATGAAAATGTCTGTATAGGTGTGAGTGGGTATAAAATGGGAAAGTTATGGAACTGGGTATCAGGGTTTAAATCAGTGGTCAGGAAGCCTCAATTTAATCATTGTTTTCTGCAGAAAGTGTGTTCTTGTTGTTTAATATCCTTTATTCATTTAATTTCTTGAAGCTTTGCACTTTTAGAGAAAGGTAAGGGCTTGACTGAATGTACACAAACTTTCAGAGAGACAACAAGGCTGGTGGGTGGGTAATTAAGTTGGTTCTCTCTCATCTCCGTATACAGTAATCTCCACTATCTGGCATTTAAATAACCAGAATACTTTACTAACTAGAACTTCTGGCCAGCCAGCTGGATGCGAGTAGGGGGTGGGGGAAAGGTTGCACATGGAACAGCGGCAGTGGTTGCCATGTGTGGCTACCGCCACCCCCTGCTCCACCAACTGGGAGGGCGGGGCAAGCTCAAACACAGCAGCTTGTGCTGTCACTTCTCCATGTATGCTGCCCCACCAATCCATGCTGCCCCACCAATCCATGCTGCACCCTGCAGCTGTCGTCACTGTATGCGGCCACTGGCACTGCATGTGTTGACATCGTGTCCCTCACCCCCGCCCCTCCAGCTCTGCATTATCTGAAAACCCTGCTGGGTTATTTCTGATAACCGGAGTTTTTATATAACCAGCAATCCCCGTACCCCAGGGATGCTAGATCTTACTGTACTGCTGTTAACAAGGATGTTATCTCTGGAGACAACAAACTCTTCCTATGCCTGAAGAAGGGTGTTAATGCCTGAAAAGAACAATTTTTTCAATTATTTAGTTGGCCTAATAAAAGGTACTACATCTACCCAAAGAACCTTGTTTTCCTATGATCTGTGGAGACAAATTCGTAGTTTGAGAACTGAAAGTGAGCATGACAGAGATGCTAAGGGGATCTTCTGTACTGAGCACTGAGCGGAGTGGTTTCCTTTATTTTTTACTAATCTATAGAGGAATCTCTGGGAACCCCATAAGATCGGGCCCCTAATATAGTCCATGGCCTGTTTTGACCTATTTATAACACTTTTCTAAAAAGTTTACATAAATATATTGTCTCAACTAGTATATAATTAGAAGTTATAATCCCTATTCCACAATAATATATTTGAGCTTTGACATATCTTAAATTAAAACTCTCTTTATAAGTTTATTTTATTTAACAAATCTTAATAAAATATAAAAATATGATTTAAGTTTACAAAAATCTTTTTTTGTTGTTTTTTTTTTTTTAAATCATTGATTTTTATCCACCCTGCTGGGCATCATCTATGGCAGAGGCTGGCAACATGGAGCTGGAGGGTTCTGCCTGTGCCTGTGTTGCAGCTACTTCTTCCCATTCCTTTCCTTTGCTGCATGCTGGTTCAACTTCCAGCTGGTAGAGGGCTGCACCAGGGTTGGGGAGCAAGAAATGGTGTTCATGCTACCTCTGCTTCCTCATCCCCCCTTTACTTCCCCTTTCTCCCTCCCTCCCCCCCACCCCTGCTTCCCAGCTACAGGGTGGGCACAACTTGAAGCTAGAAGAGCCAAATACAACTCTCCATGGGCTGAAAACTACAGCCAGGGGAGGTGGGGGGATGGCAGGGAGAAGGGGCAGTGGTGCGGGCACAGTTGGAAGCAGCATGGCTCTGCCACAGCTCCCATGCTCATCTCCTTGCTGACATTAAAACAAAGGTACCTGGTCCCTGTTTGCTGGAGTCAACCTGCAGGTGGCCTGTGGTTCCCTGTCCAACAGGAAAGGCATCTCAGGTGGGTCTCTTAGTGGTCTGACCTGGGCTCAGTTCTCTTCAGTATTTTATTTTGTTATTTAAGTGATGGCATTGAGAGTGTGCTTTATAAATTTAAATATAAGCATGACACCAAGTTGTGAGGGAGGACGAAATTGCGAAAGCATGGTGGAGGACTGGATCAGAAGTCAAAGTGATCTAGATGAAAGAGTCTGAAATCAGTAAGATAAAATTCTGAAGGAACAAGTACAAACTACTACTGTACTTTGGAAAGAGAAGCCAACTGCGCAACTAGAAAATGGGAAGCAATTGTCTAAGCAGTAGTGCTGTAGAAAAGGATCCGAAGGTTGGAGCATCTCACAAGCTAATTGTGGTTCACTAAATGTGATGGAATTGAAGAAAGGCAAATCTCATTCTGGGATATTTTAATAAGAGCATTATTTTTAAGACATAATTGATCTACTCTGGTGGTGTTGGTGAGGCTTTAACTGGAATACCATGTCCAGTTTTGATCATTATTTTTTAAGAAAGATGCAGGCAAACTGGAGAGAATCTAGGGAAGAACATCAAAGCTAAGAGGTTTGGGTGCCCTTTGGGATTTCTGGTGTATCTTTTTATAATTCTTTTAAATTTAATAATGTGTTCATGGGGGTTGGGGAGGGAGAGGGTGAGTGGATCTTGGGGACAGTCGTGGCAGGGTGGTATGGGCTTGGGAGGGTCATATGTGAGGAGTGGGAGGGGAAGTATGGGAAGCAAATATGTGTCTTTAATGGAGGAAGTGAAAAAATGGTAGAAAGCAAGGGAGAGGGAGGGGAGCAGGAGTGACTGAGTGAAATTTTTAAATGCTGGGTATTGTTTGGATAGTTAGTTTAGCTTTTTATTTAGTTATTTATTTAGTATTACCCTATTTAATATTTTATTCATTTTGGCCCTGAGCCTTTTTTTGGGAGGGCAGTGGTGTGATACAAGTCTTGCCATACATAAAAGTTTGTTATAAAGTGGCTGGTGGTCAGCTGTTCTCCCTGGTTACTGGGGGGAAGAAACAGAAGAAACCAGTTTAGTTTGCTGTAGAGAAGGTTCAGGTTTCCTATTAGTAAAGGCTTTCTAACAGCTGGGTTGGAGAAACATTGAAGCAGGCTCTCTTGAGGAGGTTACAGAACCACTGAGTCTTGAAGATCTGTAAGAACACATTTAGGTACAGCTCTGTTGTGGTGGCTTGGGCATACTTGATCTTTGTCAGTGCGGGAAGTTAGGTCAAATCATCTCTTGAGGTCCTTATCAAACCTGTGTTTCTATTAAATGGGATGTAAGAATGTATGCAGTGGTTTTTCTGACTGTCGTTTCCCTCCCCCCTCCACCCAAAAACAAAAAAAAAAAAGGCCTGAGAATGTCTTTAAGTAAATTCTTCACAGAATACCTGAATTCCTTTTTGGAGATAAATGTGTTTTCCTTTATATCAGTGGTGTTAGCAATAAAAACCTAGGATTCCGGACTAGCTCAGGGATTGACACAACACCTCGTGGGATTAGTGACAGAAAGGCTTTATTTACTACAGGTATTTAAAATCAAGTCAAGTGAGCCCAAACCAAATCAAAGTCCAGTAATTAGCTATAAGGTGATGATTTCTCACCAAACAGGCGACGAAGAGGTGGTTTGTTTCTCT